TACATGGTTTTTGACATAGGATCCCATGTGGTTTCCCATGTGGTTTCCCATATGGGGATTTTCAATAGGGACATTATATTGCACCGAAATCGAATACACTAACCACTATACCACGCTCGCATGAGAGTTCAAATTCATAATAGAATTTATGAAGTGCCACGAAAAGAAATGCCAAGAAACTAACACATCAGTGTTAATTTTAATATTGAAACAAGATAACTAATAATACTAGTAAATTTGTAAAAACAAATTGACTGCAGAATTAAATATTTTATTTACCATAAGTAAATACCCTAAATAAAAAGTGGGACCGATTTCGGACTAATCCGGAATTTGTCCGCAACAGTACGGTTTATTGTGGAGTTTCATACCATGAATTAAGTTTGAAATCAATACCGTTTTTTATAACTATTGAATCCGTAATTAGTCCGGTTCAGTCTGCAGTTAGTCAGATAATATGCGACTAGTAAATGCAGAAGTAATCCGGTTGGTTTAACCAGTGAATCCGCAGCTAATCCGAAACAGTCTGCTTATGGACCGGTTTTTGTCGCTCAGAATTTGTCCGGATAAATTCAAACTAAATGCGGTTTGTGTATAACCAGTGAATCCGGAATTAGTCCGATCTAGTCCAAAGTTAGTCTGATAATACGCAACTTGCAAATGTGAAATTATTAAATCCGGAATTAATCTGGTTTTGGTCAGGTTTTTGTCATACGAAATTATAATTACAGTTTGAATTTATCTGCGTTTAATACAAATTGTTTTTAATATACAAATTCAATATTATACCAAAATCATTCCTGATTAAGTCTTTGAATCGGATTGAATATGGATTGTTTTGAACTGTCTGTGGATTGTATATATTTGAAAATTCTTATAATAATAAGAGTTATTTTCGGACTGTGGTGTTTTGATCAGATATTATTCGGATTGACGCTGACTATTACCGGATTCTTTGCATACAGATTTTGGATTGTTCCATACTTGTTTCGGATTAAATCTTTTAACTGGATTAAATTCAGATTATTGCGGACTGATATCGTATTGTTGCATAATAATTACGGACTTAATTCATATAGACATTTAAGGTTACTCCAGACTGATTTAGGATTCAAAATTTCACTCGGATTGATGTTAGATTAACGCAGATTATTTTCGTACAATTATCGGACTAATCCACACTAATATACCTGGATTTAATCCGGATTAGTCCGAAATTTTTACCAGGGATATAATATGATTCGGGTGGCCGTCTATTACCGGATTCTTAGCATACATATTTCGGATTATACCTTTTAGTTGGATTAAATCCGGATTGTTGCAGACAATTTTCGGATTCTTAGCATACAGATTTCGGATTGTTTCGTACTTCTTTCGGAATAGAATTTTGCAACACTTAATTTCAAATTGTTGCGGACTAATATCGGATTTCTTGCTTACAGAGTTCGGATTGCTCCGGACATTTTGCGGATTAAGTTTTTTTTAACTAGATTAAACTCGGATTGTTGCGGACTGATTCCGTATTCTTTACATATTGATATCGGATAATTTCCCGTGTAGAAATTGACATGTTATGGCCTACACAATGATCAAAAGATCTGGCCCCTATTTGGGCCATGGTTAAATTTCTACACGGGTCTGTACTTATTTTAGAAGAATTCCTCACCGGTCATAAATTTGGATTGTTGCGGACTAATTACGGACTGAATTCGTAGACATTCAGGATTACTCCGGAGTGTTTTCGGATTCAGGTTTTCGTTCGGATTGATATTAGACTAGCGCGGATCATTTTCGTACAATTTTCGGACTAATCCGTACTAATCTGTCCGTATTTAATCCGGAATTAGTCCGAAATTTTTACCAGGGCAGTAACAAAAAGAATTAAAACTGCTTCCAATGTAAATGAAAAAATAATATATGCCCTTTCTGAATGTTGGCTTTTGTATTTGTATACCTAATTCAAGTTTTCAATTTCTAAGCCAAAAATTTATCAAAAAAAATTAAATGTCACGAACTACTCAAAATCGAGTGTCCAACTATACCTTCTGCTTTTTAACCTTGAGCACCAGCAGCACTAGTAGAGGGACAAAAACTTCACAGGCATTAATCTAATTAAATAATAAATGAATTGATATAAAATGACTAGCTAATAAATTTAATAGTTGACAATATTAACTAATTTGTTGAGTAATGAGAAGGCCTATATAGATAACAAAAAAAACAAAAATTACAAATTATACATTGGCCTTAAAACTTATAAGATCTACTTTAATCAACATGAATAAGGAATTTTACGAACGAGTTCTCCACCAATTTGGACAACAGACGTTAAATGAGGTGAAAGATTGGATTAAACTACAAATCTAGGCCTTCTCATTACTCAACAAATTAATTAATACGGTCAAACAAAAACAAAAATTACAAAAAATATTAACTAATATACAAATACAAACATTATATGCAAATAAATATTATGCGTATTTCTTTATATATCCAACTATTACGGTAAAGAAGCAATTATTAATTTTCTAGATTTATATTTAACTAAAATAAAAATTTAGACTAATTTCTTTTAAATTGCATGCCCTCACGACAGAGGGCATGCGAAGCGCGTTGAGTATTTCAATACTATTATATGCAGAAATTTCTTTCAGTTTAGGCAAAATTGAATCCTTTAAAATCAGTTTGTTGCACAATGCAGCGTCTGAATGAGTAAATACTGAATTTCGATAATAATTTTAAAAAATTCCGAAAAAATAGTAAAAATCATTTATCCACGACGGGACAAGGCTTAAAATTTGCGTAAAGGAAAGTAGTTTTTTGAAATTTTGTAAAAAGACATCGAAGGATACAAACAGATTTAAAAATTAAATTTTAATCTTGAAATTTTTAAAAATGCAGTAAAAAATTTTATAAAATTTTTTTTTATAAAATTTTTGAAAAGTTTATGAAAAAACAAACAATTTTTATATAAGAAAGTTTAAAGTTGATCCACATTTGTAGAAGTTATGAGCATTCAAAAAAAATTTTTTTTTCAAAACGTAACATTTTGAAAAATTCTTATCTTGTAAACGGCTGGGTAAAAAAATTTTAAAAAAATCATAAAGCCCTTTTTCAACTAGTACTAAAAGATAAAAAATGTTTAGTCCAAATAAAAAATGTGAATTTTGACAATATGTTGGTTTGGCGTGGAATGTCTCATTTATATTCTTCTTATAATAAATTTATTTTATAATTTATTGAATAAACTTTTACGTCCAAGTTGATTTTTATTGGATTAGTAGGTAAAAAATTTTTTACACGAATACATTTGGATTAGTGGTTTTTTAATATAAAAATTACTCCAACGTTTCGAAATCAATACGATTTCCTCTTCAGGTAGTCTATATAAAATAACACAGAAAACAAAAAATAAAAATACGAAAACCAATAAGACGTTAAATAATAATTTAGAAACATTAAACAATAATTTTGTTTTCTGTATTTTTTATTTTTGTTTTCTGTATTATTTTGTAGACTCCCTGAAGAGGAAATCGTATTGATTTCGAAACGTTGGAGTAAATTTTATATTAAAAAACCACTACTATTCCAATTTAATAATTTAATTTCGTTGATATTTTTATAATAATTTCTTTGATATTTTTTTGTAACTACTATAGTTAATGTAGTACTATAATAGTAAGTATAGTACTACTATAGTAAATATAGTACTACTATAGAACTACTATAGGATTACTATAGTTAGTACTACTATGGGACTACTATAGTTAGTACAGTGATTACAATAGTACTACTATAGGATTAGTATAGTTAGTACTACTATAGGATTACCATAGTTAGTATAGTACTACTATAGGACTACCATAGTTAGTATAGTACTACTATATAGGACTACTATAGTTAGTATAGTATATTATTACTATTGTACAACTGTACTTCTCTTTCGTCATACTTAAACCTTGAAAGTTGCAGTTTCAGAGCAGACGTTGGGAAAATGTATATGTTATGTATGTGTACATGTGTATATTTTTTAAGTTTTATTTATTTAAATATTTTTATTAAAGGATGGGGGTGCAGGTGAGTGTTGCAAAAAATGTTGTATAACACTAGTATCATAAATAACTATTAATTATACCCATAATTCAATATTTAAACGAATTTTAAAGTATCCAGAGCAGAATTATTTTCGCTAAGCAAAAAAATGATGCAATGTAAATTTAATTTCCATTCTAAATTTACAATTTTAAGGGGACATTCCAGTTCAAAGCAGGAAAAATAAGGCTTTTTTAGTATATATTATTAAAATAACTATGACATTTATTTAAAAAATTTCTTTTACATGTGACAAATAATTTATTTAAGAATATGCAACAAAATTTTTTTTTCATTTTTACTTCAAAATGGCGGCGATGTACGCCATTTTCAAAAATGTCCATTTATTATGGTAAGATCGATTCCAAACTTTCTAAAACAGATAAAACCAAAAAGGAATTGACATTCTCTTCGTTAGATTTTGCAATAAAATTTTAGGAGAGTATTCTTGACACTATAAGAAATTCGAAAATAAAAAAAATCGATTTTTTTCACATTTTGAACTGGAATGTCCCCTTAAATTCTCTAAAATTATGTTTTAAGATTGAATATTTTTTCAAATATAGGAAACTTTTATTTTTACGCCTTGACTTTTTTCTTTAATAATTAATTTCCTTCGGTATTTTAAAATAATTTTATAAATTCTCGTTTGTAAAAATATAAATAAATATAAGTTAATTCGCATTTTTCTCTATATCTTTTTAATTCATAAATTTTTAAAGTAAACCAGACTAATTATTTTCGTTAGTCAAAGCAGGTCAAGGAAAATAAAGAAATAAAATGAACTAAATTTGATGAAGTGAAATTTATAATTTTTGACTAATCTGATTGAAAGTGATATACATTTGATTAATTATTCAAGACCCTTTAACGGTCCCAGATTTGACATGTATTTTCGGATAACTCACCCCCATAAAGCAAACGAGCTCTTGATTGCAGATGGTTTTGTTCGGCTTGTTAATGGATGGGGGACAATAGGGTGCTCTACCATCGCAAAAACTGGCATCTCTGCATCCGTTGTCATCTCTACATTTATCAGAAAATCTCAGCATGCAATTCGTCGTGCAGCATGGACCCTACGTGAAATAAAAGTAAATTTTCCTTAGTATAAATGACTTCATTTATCATTTTGTACAATAATTCTTTTTACAATTTTCACAATAAATAAGAAGAGAATGTTTCCTCACAATATTATGCTATAAAAGAATTTTTACCACACTTTTTTTATTAATAAAATAATAATGTATATAAAGTTGTTGAGTTTGTATTATTATATTAATTTAAAATAACGAGCGTCTACACTATATTCAGTGTTTGTTCTTCGATACATCGATGTTCGCGATTCTCTATTCATACAGGCCTAACTTCTGTTACTTCTATAAAAATACTTTGACACACAAAGACAATAAATTTATATTCTCACCAGTTAAGTTTCTCATTGTAATTTTACACATTATACAAAAAATTAAATAACAGGTTATGGGTACCAGACCCTTCCCTACTGCGTTGAGATATTAAAAACGAAAGTAAATTGGCGCAATCGACGCAAAAACGATTGATCAGACGGAGGTGAAACTTTCAAAATAGTTGAAAATCATCACAGAAACAAGCGTCTAAACAAAAAACTCAAGTTGAAAGTGCGCGCAGATCTCAAGTTAAAAACGGAAAACTAATAAATAAAAGTGTAAAATTAAGTCGTGTAATGTGAGACGAGTGCTATTTACTGAAAGTTAGACAAAGACAAAAGAACCGTCGAATTGTTGAAAGCAATCAGTGAACAAGTGTAGTGTAGATAATAACGAATATGGCTTCAAGTTTTCAAGTGCAGACGGAAAAATTAAGTAAGGATAATTATAACACATGGCGTTTTCATATGGAAGCAGTTCTTTTAAAAAATGATCACTGGACCCTACTACTAAAAATTCCCGTACAAGGTCTTGCACATTTTTCTGTACAAATAGTTGAGTATCAGAACTTGTACCATCACGATAACGCATTGAATGGATGCAACGTCAATGAGTAAAACCCAGTGTTCTAATACTTTTTTTTACTGGGAAGCCATAGAAAACTACTTCGCAGCCTTTAAAGTTTTTAATTAATTTGTACATGTACATCATCTCGTACAAGAAATTGGACATGAACATTTATTTAAAAGCCAGAAAAAATTTACGTGTACAGGTAAATCTTGTACAACATCTTGTTTCAATTTCGTATGCTGAAATGATACATTTTCTTTGACAGAAATGGTACAAGTTCTGATACTGAACTTGTACAGGAAAATGTGCAAGATCTTGTACGGGGATTTTCAATAGGGGGAGTATGTGAACGGAACCATAGCTAGACCTGATGAAGAGGTTGCAGTAGCAGCGTGGCGTGGGACAGAAGGGATAAGAAAGCTAAAGCTGACATCGTCATATTAAGAAATATAAAACATCAAGAGAGGTATGAGAAAAGTTAGATCTCGTTTATAAGTCAAAAGGTCCATCAAGGAAGGCGACCTTGCTGAAACAATTAATATGTACAAAAATGAACGAGGGAGATAAAATATGGCAGATCATTCGAACAAATTCTTTAGTATCTTAGATAAACTGACAGAATTGAAAATCGTGATTTTAGATGACTTGCTTACCATATTATTACTCTACAGTGTACCCAATACCTTCGATAATTTCAGATGCGCCATTGAAGCACGTGATAAACTCCCCACTCCAGAATCACTGAAAATTAAATTGCTAGTCGAATATAATGCGAGAAAAGAACATGATCCGGAACAAGATACGCAAGGGGCTCATTACGGAAAATCATTTAAAAATTTGCAATTATTGCATGAAATTTGGTCACAAAGCTGCTGATCAAAAACAATTTTCTTCGGATGGAACTGAAGAAGAAGAAGCTTTTATTGTCATTCACTTGGAAGATGATCCTGCAAATGAAAAAGCAACTTTTGCTTGTATCTTTAGTGTCGAATCAACGTCAAACAATATTTGGTGCATGGCTCAGACAAAATGAATTTGTGTGCTTTGTCGAAAACGTTGCCGAGATCTTCAGCCCCTAAGATTATTACAGATGGTAAAGTGGAAAATACACTTTTGTATCTATTGTAATGGTTATTATTATTATTATTCAGACTCAAATGAAGACTGGGCTGCATGTTCTGTCTGCGGCCAATGGACTTTGTGCAGTTGTGCTGGTGTCGATGTCGAAGATAAAGATGGGGAGATTTGCAATTTTTTCCTTATTGTTAATTTTAAGCTTTTTTAAGTAACAGAAGTGCTTCATACGCCTTTATTACGAAAGACAGATTCCCAAAGATGGTTATTAAAAACAATAATAAAATATATGGGCAATTCCACGCAAGATTTACCTATGACCTTGAAAATTCGGTTAAACATATTTTTTTCTCAATCTGTATGGAAAAAAAGAAATATGTGTTTTTTTATTTTTGTTTAATCGCCCAAATTTTCGAGTTATGAATTTTCGAAATTTTGGATTTGTAACTGTAGACATATTTTCAGTAGCTTATAAGTCTATAAATATTGAGTTTAGAAAAAACTTGTCAAGGAATGAAAGTTTCGGTTTTCTTTCAACTTTTAAGAAATGTAAAAAAAAAATTTTTTTTTATAAACAAATTAATTTTTTTTAACTTTGGATCCAATTTTTATTTATTTTTAAAAAATGTATTTATACCTTATAATATACAGAATATTTTCCAAAAAGTTTTGGAGTGGGCCGACGCGTTTAATGAGTTGTACAAAATTTTCAAAAATCACGTGCAAGGTGCTCGCGTTCTACAAAACGCCTCACAATGGGATTTTTTTACAATTTACTTCTCAAAAAATGTCTACAGACTAAAATTTTTAATCGATTTGAATGTTTTTTGTTTAAAGTAAAAGGAGAACAATTTCTCAAGACATCCCTCCATGCAAACCTAAGAATATTCAATTGTTTATAATTTTTTTTAAAAACAAAAAGTTAACAAATTAATTGTGTACTTTCCTTTAAAAATGAAAGATTATTTTCTTATTTTGCTACTACACATGTCCTAAATCAGATTCAATTAATATAATATATGACCACCAGATAAATAGTAAATCATAAAATAATCTATCTAAACTGTTATAAACAATATTAGTTAACAAACAGTTAACTTTGGTTCCTCTCCATCAAAAAAATTTGTTCTTTTATATTCATATTGTACTTTAAATTCATTTAATGAATACATCTCCCTTTCCTTAAAAAATAATTTTTAATCGTTATAAACAATAATAGTTAACAAATAATGAACTATTTGTAAACTTTTTGATTTTAAAAAAAATTATAAACAATTAAATATTCTTAGGTTTGCATGGAGGGATGTCTTGAGAAATTGTTCTCCTTTTACTTTAAACAAAAAACATTCAAATCGATTAAAAATTTTAGTCTGTAGACATTTTTTGAGAAGTAAATTGTAAAAAAATCCCATTGTGAGGCGTTTCGTAGAACGCGAGCACCTTGCACGTGATTTTTAAAAATTTTGTACAACTCATTAAACGCGTCGGCCCACTCCAAAACTTTTTGGAAAATCTTCTGTATATTATAACGTATAAATAAATTTAAAAAAATCGGATCCAAAGTTGAAAAAAATTAATTTGTTTATAAAAAAATAATTTTTTTTAATAAAAAATTAAAAAAAATTTTTTTTACATTTTTTAAAAGTTGAAAGAAAACCGAAACTTTCATTCTTTGACAAGTTTTTTCTAAACTCAATATTTTAAGACTTATAAGCTACTGAAAATATGTCTACAGTTACAAATCCAAAATTTCGAAAATTCATAACTCGAAAATTTAGGCGATTAAACAAAAATAAAAAAACACGTATTTCTTTTTTTCCATACACACTGAAAGAATTTTGGGCAGGCTGCAGGCTTTACATGAGTGCCGCTAGAGCTCGCTGCCTTAAGCTCGCAGTTAACCTCAAAAAGGCGAGAATCTACTCTCGAAAGGTAAGCAGCAACTCCTCAGGGGCAGCTGCTCACCTTTCGGGAGTAGATGCTCGCTTTTTTGAGGTGAGCTGCGAGCCCTGCGCAAGGGGCACTGATTTCGGACATGAAAAGCCAGCAGCCTGCCTAAAATTCTTTCAGTGCAGATTGAGAAAAAAATATGTTTAACCGAATTTTCAAGGTCATAGGTAAATCTTGCGTGGAATTGCCCATATATTTTATAATTTCCGTTCTATTGCGCTTTAAACCTTAAGTACCCCGTCTTGACCCACCTTCCCCTATATTATCTAGTTTTAAAAGGACATAATTATGATTTAGCTCTATATCTATTATTTAATTAACTAAAAGCATTTGCGTGACAGCATGTAAATTGTAACAACTACACAAAGTGAATGTCGGTTGTTACAATACAAAGAATCATCTATAACATTTCTAAATTGAAGACAAATAATTTTTTATAACAATTTTTATTAATTAATCATAATTTTTGGCTCAACGTAATAGTACGTGACAGTTCCATAGAGATGGCAGCATTAGGGGAGACTGGGGTAAACCCGCGCACAGGGTAAACCCGCTCACTAGCGATTTGACGCTATGAACTCAACTTAAGATGGAAATATTGGTACTGTGAATAGTACTTAACATTCAACTTATATTAACGAACTTTCGTTTAGTTTCATCACCCCAGTCCGACTCCTATGTATTTTCACCCCAGTCCGACTCCTATGTATTTTGAAGGAAAAATATGTCAGCTTAGTGGTTTGCGTTTTCATGTGCCAAAAAGTAACACGTGATGGCGCTGTTCTCAACACTCGCTCAAAATTCACTAAAGCAATAGAAAAATATCATAGAAACGAATAAATTATTTGTTTTTATAATGAAATCTTGTTGTTAGTGATGTTAAAAATACACGATAAGAAATAATATTGTATTTTTAACTCATAAAAGATGATAGAACAATTGAATAATTAGTATGAAAATACATAAATGTGTTGTACAATAAACTGATGACTTTCGTTTAAATCGTTTAAATTATCAGATAAACTGATTTATAATAAAAGTTAAAGGAAAGTCATAGATAAATAGTATATTTAAAA